GGCGGGGCAGCCTCCCGAGCCTTCGGGATGTGGACGGGGTGCGGAGTCGGAAATACTGGGAACCCAGAGGATTTCCGAACTACGTGAGACAGTGGGTCCCGTAAGCCTTCTTTCTGACGCCGGCAACAGGCATTGGGGGCGAGCAGCGCAAATGTTACCGAGGTACCTCCCTCATTTTCCGGGACCTTCCCTTAAAGGCCCATCGCTGCTCCCAGATCTGTTGATTTATCCAACTTGTTCATTCTCATGATTTGTGGCCAGCAGTCTGCATTCGACCAGCAGGCCTCTCCAGTACTTCTGTTCCAGTAGTCTGAGTATTTGATATGAAATTACCCTGAGATAAGAGACCTCTTGGGTTTTGTTTTGCACTGAATTTTTAAGAGTGTTGGCCCATGTATACGTTTTCACTACATCGGGCATTCTGGATGTTTTGCTTTTGTTTTTAAACAGAAAATGAAGAAAAATTACAACTCAGACATTTCAGGTTTTATTTATTTTCAGTTTACATAGCAGGTTCAAATTTTATGAATTAAATTTTGACTTTATAGTCTTAATTTATAAAGCAACTTTGGTAATCTTCTTTGAGGTATGTTATTAAAGTATATGTTTTAAAGCAATCATCAAAATATTGTCAAATGACTTCCCAAACTTTTCCTACCTCCTGGAAAAATGTCTGATTTCAAGTAAACTCAAGAAGTCCTTATTTTCACAAATTACTTGTATTGACATAAATGCCTAAAAACTTTTTATGGAAGAGCCCAAGATTGTCTAACAGCTTCAATCAGTTAAGTTGTATTGGGACATAAATGCTCCAGAAGTATTTTATTAAAGAGCTAAATTTTGTGTCTGGTTTATAACTTACCAACTAACTTACCCTCCCACTACCAAACACACAAAAGCCATAAGTGGCTACTGAATGGTAGGTAATACACAGATTATTTTCAACCAGACAAGTCACTTCCTCCATGAAAGACTGCTAAGCTGAACCCAAGCTTAGTTCAAGTATGCATTTGATCTGTCATTAAATGCCCAGATTTTAACATCATCTGGTTTTTTAAACCCAGGGGATGGCTCTTCATTTTGAGCATTTGTGTCCTACATATTTCCTTTTCCTAAATTGCCTCTTATGCCATTTGATGCATAAAGAGGCAAGATAATCTCACCTCTGCTACCTTAATAAAAAATAACTCTTTCATAAAGATACAACATGGCTAAGGAAGCTTTCTGATAATAACCATCAACATGCAGATTCAAAGGTTTGACCACTGAATTTGCATGCCAAATAAATGGAGATATTGTAATATTTTACACAAAATCAGAAATGTCCTGTATGCCTGAAAACTGATCCTTTAATATTAGTAATAATTTAGAGGTTTCTTATATTATCTTCTTTAGTCTCTTAAGCTTATCTCAACTGTGAAAGCAGTCTACTGGACGCTTATTGGTTCTGTGCTAACAGATAAATTTAAAGCATCAAACTTCCAAGCCTCAGTGTAGAAAAGAGGCTGTACCATTCAATTCAGAGTGTCTGCTTTTCTTTTTTTTTTTAATCACAGCATTTCAATTCCAGAATATATTTCATGGTTCACTGAAGAAGTTCACAGCTTAAAAACATGTTTTAGGAAATGAAAGGATAAATTTATAAGGCCATCAGAGAATAATTATTATCAAATAAATGTTATTAAAAAGAATTTCATATTAGGAATCCAAATAATATGAAAACGTGGAAATGTTCATATGACAATGAAAATCCTTCATCCTCTGACTTTCTTCCCAAGGTTTTCTATTAGTTCCAAGTATTTCTACAGTTTCAATCCATAGATCACTAGCTTTTGACGGCCATGCCAGTTTTGTTCTTATTTAGTAGATCGAAGGTTTTCTGAAGCATAATGAGTGAGCTCTTCAGCTGCAAACAAAATTAATTTTCAAAGTCAGATTTTTAAAATTCTTTGATTATTTTATGCCAGAACTTTACACTTAAATTCAATAGAGTTTTGTTTATACAAATAAAAACTGAATATAACACACTCAATTCTTTAGGATATCTGCTGTTTGCTACACAGTCCCCCTCATCAGCTGGAGTACTGTATTTTTTCCTACTACTTTATATTCTACTTTCCAATATGTCCATTAATCAAATTATCCCGAGTGAAAGGCTCGTTTTCTTAAATGGTTTCTGAAATTGGACTCTTCACTATTCCTACACAATTTAAGTTCCACTGATGGGCTATTCCTTACTATTATGTTCATGTTCCTGTTCGAACATCTAAAACTTACACATACCCTCTGTCTCTGTGTTTTTCCTTAATCATGTTGCTTCTAAACCCCCAGAACAATACCTTTACTACTTAACACTCTTGATGCTGAATTTTATACTTTTCTTAGTCTTTAACAATACACATGGATGTTGATTTCTCTAATAAAATTATAAACAACTTGGGACGAAGAATTATGTCTTATTCTTTCTTGTATTCACTCATTCATTCCACAAATATTTATTGCTTATCTATTACATGCTGATCACTATTCTAAGACTGAGTATAAATAAAATGGCTCCCCACCTTCATGGAGCTTACAGACTAGTGATGGTTACTAAAATGAATAGTCACATACATAAGTATAAACTTAGACATTCTATTTATTTATTTTTGTGGTGCTGGGGCTTGCTTACGTAAGCACTATATCACTAAGTTATATCTTCAGCCCTACTTTATCACATTTTTAACATGAGTAATTAGAGGAAAATAGTATTTTCTGAAATGAGGTTCACTAGAAGGGAATTGAGTTTTGTTCTGATTGATTTGCAATGCCCATTAAGTCGTTGGGGTAAAGTTCAGGAAAGGGGGTCAGAGTAGGAAATACAGATTTTGGGTTTGCTGCAGCTTGACTATATCACCTCCAAAATTCATGTTAAAACTTAATCCCCAAAGCAACAATATTAACAGATGTTAAAGGGTAATTAGGTCATGACGGCTGCCTTCAGAGACAGAGTAGTGCTCTTATAAAAGGGCTGAAGGAAACTAGCTAGGTCCTTACACTTAGATGGCACCGTTTATGAGCAATAACCCTCAGACACTGAACCTGCCTATTCCTTTATCTTGAATTTCTCAGCTTATGGAACTGTGAGAAAGTTCTGTTATTTATAAACTATCCAGTCTCAGGTATTTTGTCATAGCAGCACAAGAGAGTAAGGAAGGAGTCAGAAGCTAATGTGATTATTTAAAGTTAGGGGAGTAGATGAGAACACCTAAAGGGAAAGTAATGGAGAAGGAAAGAGAATCTATCACAGAGCTCTAAAGCATTTGGGCCAGGAAGAAGTGAGTATAAGAGTTGGTTTTGACCAACAAAAAGTAGCTTTACATTATTCTAACTGAAAGAAGACAGAAAATAATACATATTATATAAGCCATTTATATGAAATGTCCCAAATAGGCAAACCCATAGTAATGAAAACAGATTGGTGTGTGCCAGGGGGGTGACTGCTAATGTGTACAAGGTTTTCTTTGGGGGTGATGACAATGCTTAGGAATTAGATGGTGGTGATAGTTATACAGACTTGTGAATATAATAAACATTCTTTAAAAGGGCGAATTTATATTACTTGAATTATGTCACAATGAAGCCTTTTATGGTTTTAAAGAAGGCAAAATTAGCTATATTTCAAGAAAGGTGTGGTCAGTTTCAAATAGTGCTGACAGATGAAGACTTTTTAAAAAGACATAATTTTTACATGCTAAAGATCACAGAAAACCTTATCTCAAACAATATCCATAAAGGGAATAACAGGGAGAAAAAATGCATACATTCTACTTGCACCCTCTTCAAACCCTACTAAAAGTACAATAAAGGAATTTTCTTCTTCCTTTCTTGTTTTTTTCTTTTCCTTCTTTTTTAGTGGGGATTAAACACAGGGGCAGTCATCACTGAGCTAAATTTCCAACCCTTTTTTAAAATTTTGAGATAGGGTCTCACTAAATTTCCAGGTTGGCATCAAATTTGATATCCTCCTGTCTCAGCCTCCCAAGGAGCTGGGATTATAGGCCAGGCTTGTGCCACTCTATGTGCCACACCTTTCAGAGGCACTACTAGAGAATGTGCTCCATTAAAAGGAGAATGCAGGGCCTGAGGATACAGCTCAGCCACAGAGCACTTGCCTAGCAGGTGCAAGGCCCTGGGTTCAGTCTCTAGCACAAAAAAAAAAAAAAAAAAAAAAAAAAAAAAAAAAAAAAAAAAAAAAAAAAAAAGAAAGAAAAAGAAAAAAAGCCAAGAAAGGAAAACATGGGACATGGAAAGCTAGGAGACAGACAACAGAAATCCCCAGGAGGACAGCTGCACACCAGACACAGGATCACCAGACCTGACTAGAGTTAGTCAGAAGGCTCCATCAGTAGAATACCTGAGTAAATAAAGATTTTGAGAAGAGATCTGTAAACAGAATTAGGAGATGAAATGCTTATAAGTAATACTGATAAACTAATCAAAGGTAGTTATGGTTTAATTTTATGTCTCTCATCTTGGAATAGCAAACTTGGTCAAAACAGCAAACACTGAGTATTCTTCTAACCAAAATTATAACTTCACTGGAAAGAAAACAGAAATCTGAAATGTATGTGTGGTGGGTGGGAGGTAGGAAAGAAAACCAAAACCTTGTTTTCCATAAAAGAAAGTTAAAAGATAATGTCTAAAACTGAAAAAAAAATCAAGAATTAACAATACGTGGTTGTTGACAAATATGGATGTAAGCAAAAGAATGAATTGAAAGAGTTACATATGAACTTCAGGAAAGAAATGGGGGAAAGAGTACTGAGATTACCACTTTTCTGAATAAGCCTTGTAGAACAAGTTAATTCTTTATGTGAAGTGATTTTTGATGAAAATAAAAATTGAAAAATGAATATAAAGTATGATAGCCGAAATGCCTGACCATGAAAAGAAGTAGATATAAAGGGGTAGAAAACCAATGTGGGTAAAGCAGGTTTGTTAATGCAGAAGATAACAGAGCAGAGTTAAGTGCTGATGGTCAAGATCTATTTGATGAGGGAGAATGAAAATGGAGAGGTAATCCCAGCTACTCAGGAGGCTGAAGCAGGAGGATTAGCAAGACATTGTAGTAAGATAACAAGGGAACGAATGAAGGAAGGTGTGGAGAAGCTAGAGAAGTGATGGATGAAGTCACCCACTAACACACACTGGAACTTTACCTCCCATAGGTGGAGGAGTGTTTCTAAAATTAGTCAAGAAGAGAATGGGGGTGCAAGGATAGGATAATTTATAGATTGATTATCGAAGGAGGAGGGAAAGTTTCTCTTTTCTCCATATGGCACAGTCATCAATTGAGAGGGAAAATGGGAGGAGAGGGCAAGGGGAGAAGGACACCATCTGTCCTTGCTGAGGGTGGAAGGAAAGTCACTAAGGAACTGTAGGTACAGCACATCTGAGAAGCACCAAGTTGAAGCTGTAACCTTAGTGCCCACATGAAAGTCCAAGAACTATAACTGAATATTCTTTAAAAAATATACATATATATACATAGAAGAAAGGGACAGAAGGGGCTGTGGTTGTGGCTTAGAGGTAGAGTGTTCACCTACCATGCACGAGGCACCAGGTTTGATCCTCAGCACCACATAAAAATAAAATAAAGATATTGTGTCCACTTATAACTAAAAAATAAATATTTTTTTAAAAAAGAAAGGGACAGAAAGAAATGAACTGTTAACAGTAATTGTATTTGAATGTTAAAACTATATATTCTCTTGTAATACTCTCTATTTTTTAATTTTGAAAAGTGAGTGTGTTATAGTCATAATGGAAATATTAATCTTCACTTTTCAAAGGAAATTCTAAGTCTAGTTCATAGAACTAACTAGCACATACTGGTGAGACCATGTTCAAGAGAGGACAGTAACAAAATAATGAAATTACCTAAGTATTCACTTTAATGAAAAACTGGTAAAATAATTATGTCACATTTATACAGTTGAACCTTATGCAGCTATTAAAAGAACAGGAAATGCTTTATATGGTGACACAGAAGTATCATTAAGATATATCATTCATACATAAAAGAAAAATAATGAAGAGTGTATATAGGAGCTACCACTTCTATAAAAATTTAATTTTAAGCATAAAATTTTATCTAGAAGACCAATAAAAAGAACGAAGTAGATAGATATATACATACTGATATATACAAACATTTTCAAAATCTATTACTAATTTTAAAAAGAGGATACTCAACAATGTGTATACTATGTTCCCAGAAAGAGTACTGAGATTACCACTTTTCTGAATAAGCCTTGTAGAACAAGTTAACACAATGGCTACATACATAATATGTATAATGCAGAAATTTTCCTCAAATTATAGTATAGGAAATATTCTCTCATAACCACAGCAACTGCTTCACACTGGTATGAAGGTATTAAGTACTTTGGTACAGACATTTGCCTACCTGTTCAAGCATCACTATGGAATCTCGGAGTACTCCTTTTAAATGATGAGCCTGATCTTTGTTCTTTTTAATGTTTTCAGTTCTTGAGACAATATCAGAGGCTAGACTGAAAGAAAAATAACATCCCAAATCAAGAGAATAGCTTCTGAACTTTCATTTCCAAAAACTGTCAGTTCCCCATACATTGCAAATAAAATACAAAAGTAAACAAACAAACAAACAAACAAAAGCTAATTATGACTACAGGGTAATGAGGAGACCAGAATTTTTACGACTGGAATTAGATCTTTCTACAACTAAAGAACTGCTGAAATAATATGGTGAAAACAGGCTGGGGAGTGGGATGATGACACTTACTTTAAAGATTTCTCTTCTCGGAGGTGGAGACGGTAAAAGGACTGAGCAGCATATTCTACCTTTGACAGCTTCAGAAACAGTGTCACATTCAACAAAACTAGCAACAGCAAACTAAACAGAACAAACCATACCTGGTTAATCCATACTTACACCTCAAGCATTGCTAGTACACAATATATATGCAAAAGCCTCAAAAAATGTGTATTTCTAAGACTATTTGCTAATCACTTTAATAAATCATCCCTATTTTATTGTGTTAAATAATTACTTTTAAATATTAAGTGAACATTGGGGAAAAAAAGATGGAGGGTAACTAGAGTAACAATAAAAGTATTTAAATAACTCCAACTCACAGGTTGGAATTGTATCTGACATCTCTCCTCTCTGCTTGGAATCCCAGCCAGTATTGATATGTGACCACCAGCTTAGAAATCTACCAGGTAAGCTTTCAGGATGTATTTTTGGGTACTTTGGCTTAAGCAATTATACACCCATAATGCTGCATTTCAAAAAAGGAAATGAAGATCGATATGCAGCTGATCTTAGGTGGATAATGATCTATCTCTTTATTCCCAGTGGAGCCAAAAAGAAAAACTAAATAAACAATTCCCATTTAGCAAAACTTTCCTCTTGTTCATCCTGGAAAAAGGAAGTATCAAATACCCAGTATACAATAATGTTGTCAAATATAAAATGTTATGTGTTAAATATACTTAATGTATTGGTATTCATAGCAACCTTTCAAGTGAATGAATACATATCTTATTACACATATATGCAAATATATAGATGACACCATATCTACTTTTTTTCTGTTAAAGCAATGACTTGACATTAAAAACATATAGTGGAAGTTTGTGATATAGTTCAGTGGTAGATCCTCAGCACCACAAAAATAAAAAATAATTCACCTTTACCCTTCAAGAAAATGATTTAAGAAAAAGAAATTTAAAGGTAGCAAGAAAATAAATCTATAAAATTATTATGGCATTGACATTATATAGGGATCAATATTTCAATATTTGACTATAAATTTTCTGCAAAGTAATGCAAAATAACATTGATAATATTTGCCATTCATTATTGTCATAGAAAGTCAATTTAAGCAAAATATGATAGCATTTTATAAAACTCAAAGGAATAACAATATTTACTGTTTTGAAATCTATAATAAGAAAAATAATTAATATAAAAGCTTCATTCCAAAAAATTATCACCCAGAGTGTATCACTGAGTCAGAACCAATTCAATCAATTTAAAGGACTATCTCAAGATTCATATAGACCCATGTAGATATTAGTTCTCTAAATATAAATGGTTAAGTAGATTCCTAGAGTGTACCCTGAGATTCAAATGCATACACAAACACACACGCACGCACGCACACGCATATATACATAAACACATCACTATGTGATGCTCAGATTACTTGTGTTGGAATAACCTGGGGAGTGTACTTTAAAATACTGATTATTGATCCCTAGTAGAGATCTACCCAATCAATCTCTGGGACTAGGGCCAAGAAATTCACATTGTAGCTAACTCCCCAAGTGATTCTTAAACACAGTATATGGTAAGAACTACTGACCTAATCAAATAGAGTAAAATAGTATCATTGAGACTTTACCAGCATGTACACGTGTATAAGTATTCCTTTGAAATTTATGGAATTTCCCATAAAAACCCATAATAGTAGAAATGGATCTGATTTGTTTAAAAATTTTAAAAAATGTTTTTGAAATACATACTTGTATTCCTCCAAATTTAACTACTATGAAAATCATACATCAAAAACTACATACTGAAACCTATAAAATTGCTGGTTTTGTAGGCCAACATTGGTCAAATAGTAGTAATTTCAACCCAATAATATACAAATGCATCCAAATTCTTTGGGAAACTAGTTAAAAGTAAATGAAGACACAAATAAAATGAGCATTCACAACAAATACTTACAAAATACTCATCACCACAATAAGAGCAGTGTTACAGGTGTTCATTTTCTTTCCTGAAGATCACAAGAAAAAGGCTGCATTAGAGTGAAGATTGTGATTACAACTGATAAAAAATTAATGTTCATTTGAAAATTGAAAAAGAAAATTTAAAAGTTATAAGATAAAGTGATTTAGGGTAGTTTCCCTGTGCCTCTTTTTTGATTTCTTGTATCCTGTGTAAGGCAGAAAAAAATCTACAAAGAAAAACCTACAGCAATCCTTCAAATTTGGTGTATATTACAAATTAATTTACTCTAAAATTAAGCAATTCATTATAGCATGTGTGATATATAGCTAAGTACTAAAAAAATAATATGTGAGCTGGATTTATGTACAGAGCTTCCTTCCTTTTTTAAAAAAATCATTCTCATCTATTCACTGTTGCCTACACTTTTAAATTCCAAAATTAAAGAGCCATTAATCTTAAATAGTGTTAAACATTCATACTAAGGTATAAGCCTAAAGAGGATTTGCTAATGTAGGAGAATGAGAGGTATGACAATTTTATAATGCTGAGAAGGCAGAAGCAGCAAAATGTCTTCAAAATTGAGAGTGGGGGTAATAAAAGTCAGTTCCATCTTTGAAACTTTCCTAAACTGGCCCTGACAGTACATAAGAACAATCTTCTCAAAGATAGAAATCAAATGAGTAAAGTGATCCAGAAGACAGGAGAAGCTATTGTGGTGGGACTGTGGCCAGCAGAGGAACACAGGCATCTGAAGGGGCAGCAAGGAGGAAGCTCTAACCAACTGCTGCTGTGAAGGGTTGTCAGATCTGAGTTTTTTAATAAAAATGTCCAATTTTTTAAATGCTGTGTGGGCTAAATAGAATACTTTTGGCCATATGCCTGCCATTTTAATAACTGCTCCTTTATGCTTTAGTATTTGTTATCTTTAAGGAACTCAAGAGTGTGATAAACATTATCAAAATGATAGGGAAGAAAGACAGACATCCTGACATACAAACAAGGGAGACCTTCTGCTTTCTATAACTGAGCTAAAGTCCTTCATCTGTTCACCAACAACAGCTACCTGTAACATCCCCTTTGGTCTCTAAGCCCATATCTCCAGAAGAATGCTGAGAAGAAAGCTTAGGAACTGTTTCTGCTGTTCGGTTGAAAGTTCGCCTTCTCCTCCGCAGGCAGCTAAGTTTTCCAGGGTCTTCAATAGATTGATTTAACGAAGATTCTTCCATTAACAAATCTGATTCTAAGAAGGAAAACAAAATCTTTAAATACAGGGAAACCTTCTCAACTATAAGATAGTAGGGTTTTTTAAAGATTTAACTATCTGTTAGATTCTTATGGCCTAGATTCAAACTTTATTCTTAATGAAAAGCTTTAGAGAGTATGATGACCCCATAATGAGGTTTTATTTTTCTAGGAAGAATGTGTATTAATAAATGATGGGATCATCAATGCCAATTTGCCATGTGCTATATTAAATATTAATGTAATGGTTTCAGTTATGGAAACAACAGGCCACCCACTTACAATGGATCATTAGAAAAATCTCCAAAATAGGCTAAGGTACTTGTCAACCTCAAAGGAAGGACTAGCATATAATAGTTTTAATTTTCAATGAGGGTTTGCAAGAAAGGAAGCACAAGTAAAAAAAAAAAATCTAAACAAGCTGAAATCCTCATTTTTGTTATTTCTTTCAACCTTTTCCTTCACAAGATTTTTTAAATTAGCTCATTATTCAGTGACCAAAATAATTTTTGAGTTTTATTTTCTCTGCTTCTGATGAGAAGTTTACTAATGAAATAGTCAAAGAGAATAAGGCCAGGAAAATAATCAAATGATACTAAATGATACTATGAAATGAATGAACTCCAGTTTTTCCTCAATTAAAATTACATTCACATATATACATATATATATACATATATACATATATATATATATTTAAAAATATATATATTTTAAAACATCCAAACAGAATAGCTGTATCACTTCCCCAGTCACTCCTTAGTACCTACCTCCACCAAATCTATACATGTATATAACACCATTGCTAAGTGGGCCTCCAAAAGTCCGGAAACCTTCCACAAAGAAGAAAGTTGTGGGCCTAAGGACTTTCCAGATCTTAGAGAGCACAGGGTATATCTGTGACCTGATCACATAATCCCCTCTCTGTATTCATCTTTCTTGGTTCCTTGCAGAGGCAGGGGTTGTGATAGCTCTTCAGTGTATAATACTGGACAAGTCACTTAACCATACCATGTTTCAATTTCCTCTATACTAAAGTGGAAAAGCATAATCATTCCTATTTGCAGGGTTGGATGAGTATGAAATGAGTTAGTATTTATAAAGTACAAAAAATTTTATTATATATCTGGCATTAATAAACATTATGTAAGTGTTTGATAGACCATTAAAAATCTGAAGTTTTGAAATCCCATAGAGATAGAGCAAGTAGGGGATTTTGAACCACTTTAGTGAATCATTCCCACCATCATCTATTGTCTCCTGCTATGAATCCAAATGAAGAAGCAATTTATCTTATTAATAAGTGCTACCTTTACAGAAATAGATGCATCAAAAACTTTACAAACCAAGCTGTTTAAAATACTGCTCCAATGAACTCCAGGAATTCTTTTCAATTAAAGATTTGACAAGTCCCCATGGTTGTTTTCTGTATTTCAAATCTGTGGAAACTCTAATAGGATAAGAAGGAAAAATATTTATTTAAGGTCATGCTATAGTTATATTAATATTATAATTAAATGAAAGATTATATTCAGTGGAAAGCCAAAAGGATTCAAAGTCATTAAGATTTTAAAAGAAAATTTGTTCACTAATAATGCCTTCAAAAAACTACTGGATTGTTAATAATTTCATCAAATTCTCCTTTTAAATACTTGCTATTATATTTCTTTCCTTTCTCTAATCCTGAGTTTTATATTGCTTACTTATATAGCAATCATGGCTCCAAATAAATGCTAAATTTTCTTCATGCCTTGTATGAAATTTCTAGTGGTCACATATTTGTTAAGAGTAACCACATTAATTAGGACTAGGCCAGGCATATGATAGCTCATCACACTTCAATGCACCAATCCTCACTTCCCACTGCAGCCAGTTACTGCTCACCATCTGCTCTCCCAGAACTCCCAGCCCCCTTGCCCTAAAATAAGGTCATGGGATGAGTTCAGGGCAATGGACTGTGAGCTCAATTCTATAGCTTTCTCTTTCTATAGCAACTGAAATGACACTTATGGATTGTGTGGCTGTAGGATGTTAAGGCTGTTATCAATTGGAGTCCTGGGTAAAGAGCCCCACCCCTCTTCTGATCTCAGAGGATATATAATTTAAGCCAGGAAATAAAGCTTCATTGTGTAAACCTAAAAATTCAGGGTTAAAATGTTACCAGAGCATAATTTAGCCTACTCTGACTATACACTCATTGATGATAGCTCACCTTAGCCTGCATTTCTGTTTTGAAGATGGGATGATACAGTATCTGTTCAGTGTATAGAAGTAATCATGGTAGGGGACATCATGTGTCAGTACTTCTGAATCTATTAAATAAAATTGTGCTTCTCGACTTTCTTTATACAGTGTCTGCCAAAATAAGATTTTTAAAATGTTGGCATGTACATTTTAACAATTTTATAAGTTTTTTGGCAATTTAGAACATATATACTAGAATTCCTTCCCAGAAGTTACAAAAGACATGAAAAATCTATATACCAAGCTAGAAGAACCTCCACGTTGGCTGTGGCATCTATGAAGTGAGAAGGGGCCCACAGAAATAGATTTAATGTCCCACTGTCATTTCACTATACAATTAGTTTTTTATTTTAGGCATGAGGAGGGGAAAGGAACCATATAATCTCTTGAATGTTTCTTAGTTTACAAGAAGTTTTAAATCTTTGCATTGGAGAACATTCAAAAATCAACTGAATAATACAAAAATTCATCAAAAATAATACAAAATTTATCAAAGTTTAACCAACCCACCCTTTACCCCAATAGCAAAGGCAACCAAAAATATTGCTTTTGTTATACCAGATTTAAAGTGGCTGTCAGATAAACCTTCCTCATTTTAACCATATCTTTTCTACCTATCCTCTAAGAGGGGAAAATGAGGTTTCCAAGGTTATTAAAGATTCCCTGATATAAAAATACCAAACTTTTCTTATATGTTTGACAATATTTTAAAAAATTTAAAAGGTAATGAACAAAACTGCAAAAGCATAGATTATAATGGGTATTTGCAAAACAGGTACATTACACTTAAACATAAGTTGCCAATACTGTCATTATTGATTACAGTATTGATTACTCCAAGATAGTGCCAAACTGGTCATTAAATAGCTTATATTTGGTTTCTTTCCCATGTTTCACAATAGCCATCTAGTTATTTGGTACTAAGTTTTGACATGATTCTGCAAGTTGGATTTTAGAAGTGCTCTTTTTAAAATATTTTATTATGAAAAATTGTTAACACAGTAGAAGAAATGAAGTATAATGAGCCCTCATGAGTTCATCAACCAACTTTAATAACATTATCTACTGCCCAATATTTTTTTATCTGTACCCAACTCCCACATTCCCTCCTTCTACCACCATTTTTTTGCCTGGCTAGATTAGTTTTAAAAGAATCTCAGGCATCAATATACTTTCATTCATAAATATCTCAGCATATCTCTTTTACACACACACACATACACACACACACACATATATATATATATCAGTATATTTCATTTAAAACACAGCTACAGTGCCATTATTATGTATAATAAGTTAATAATTCTTTTTAACTGGTAGTTTATTTAATTAAGTTTGGATTAATATGGTTTATATGCCTGGTAAATCTCTTGTAACCTCCAACAGTCCCCCTTCCTTTTTTTTTCTCCATTTTTTTTTTTTTTGTAGAAATTATCTTGTAAATTGGTGACTATGGTAGACAGGTTCTCTCTCATCACACACACGATTCTTTCAGAATACTGACAGGATAGGCATACCTGCTTTTCAGTGGCAGCAGTGCACTTTCTAGTAAGTGGATTATTAAGGACTATAGTGTAGGTCATGTTTCTCAGTTGATCACCTCCAGATTCTACAGTCCAAGGAGTAGACACTACATCTAGTCATGGGAAACATAAAACATGTTAGCTCTAGAAATTTGAAGTGCATGACTTTAAATAGAATCAAAAGTATTATTTTAGAATTATTTTTTTAAAAAATGATTTGCTTTTGCATTTTTTTCCTACAGTGTGGGAGACCAAACTTAGGGGCTAGCACATGTTAAACAAGCACTCTACCACTGAGCTATAACCATCAGCCCTAAATTTTTATTTTTGACCAATCCTGAGCCCCTTATAATTATGTATGTTCAATGCTGAAGAAAAAGAAATTAGCTGGGCATGGTGGAGCACACATGTCACCTAGGCTGCTCAGGAGACTAAAGCAGGAACTTTTCAAGTTCAAGGCCAGCCTGGTCAACTTAGTGAGATCCTGTCTCAAAACAAAAAGGTCTATGGATGTAACTCAGTGGTAGAATACCCTGAATTCAACCCCAATGCCATAAAAAAGAAAAAAGGAAGGAAGGAAGGAAAGTGGGGAGAGAGGGAGAGATTAAACATTAGATACTCTTATATGTTACATATATATATATATGTGTGTTTGATCTACTTATTCCTAAACTGTTTCTTATTAATACACTTTTTCTTTTTTTTAGAAGATAAAATTAAAAGTTGGTTTAGCTGTAAGCTTCTCTTTAAAGTCCCTAGTACCTATGGACAAAAGTAATGGCAACAACCTTATCAAACAGAACAACACTTTAGTATACTATCATTGAGGACAAAACTTTAGAAGACATTTATTTTTATATAACAATATGACCTTGATAACCACTTGTAAAGAAATCATGTCAACATCATGAGAAGTCAGAAAATTAGCAGTTTGTCTACAACATCTTCAATCAAGATAAGGTAATAGGATGAAAAATGATTACATTCTATATAAACTTTTTTATATTAACAGGGCTATCGGAACATCTCCATATTTTTAACAGGATCTTGGTCAGAGTTCTATTTTATTTACTGAGGAACAGCACAGTAAGTGAAAACACACTTTGAAGAGAAATGTAGCTCTAGATTACAGCGCCATACAATTAGTTAAGTACAGATAAAAGCAGTATGGACTCTATTCAAAGACCTGACACCTGATGGCACAGGTGGACTAATGGACTTGGGCAATAACTCAGTATGTTTTGCTGCTATTCATCAGCATTCTAAAGTTTAGGAGCCTTTATCTAACCTATTATCCATCATAAAAAAAATGAAGCAAAGATTTATGATATAGTCAATTTTACTTAATTTCTTTTATACAGCTAGGCCTAGAGTTTAATTATGGACCATGAAGCTGTTCTTGAGTATCTGAAAAAACCTTATAACTAAATTAAAAAGGCAACATCATGAACCATAAAATCTTTATCCAGGATTTGCTGAAAAAAGGATTTATTTGGGTGTTCATAAAAGAAGATATACAATTAATTCTAAAATACTGTTTCGGAAGATTGCTTTGGTCATGTCAGCCTGTTTCAGGAAAATGACATGAATAATCAATTGCATATCAAAATTGAAAGATATCATTGATTTCTGATATTTAAATTGTATACTATTCAATGAAACAATAAACAAGGATAAAAGAAAAATATCTATTTTCCCCTGTATGTTATGTTTGCATTTTTAACAATGTTACCAACAAGATGTACTAAATATCATTTGCCAGACATCACATAATTAACATCATATTGGAAATAAGTCCTCCAATATCTAAATAAAGTTCATGATAATATAAAAAAATACTAGAATGAAATTATAAGAAAAGTGGCAATAGTGCACAAAAGGACACATGAGTCATCTGATATACTGAGTTAAAGTAATAAAGAACAGAGCAGGGATTGTAGAACAAACACTTTAAATTTTTAATTTAAATATTTAATTTAAATATTTAAACTGGTGAAACATAACACCCATTAGGATCCTTATTATTTTTTCTTTTTTATTTATATATGACAGTGGAATGCATTACAATTCTGATTATACATAGAGAGCACAGGATCCTTATTATTTTTAAAAAATAGAAAATAACAAGTGTTGGTGAGGATGTGGAGAAACCAGAACCTCTGTCCACTACTGGTGGGAATGGAAAATGGTATGATTATTATGGAAAACAGTGTGCTCTTTCTCAAAAAATTAAACATAGAGTTATCTTATGATATAACAACTCCACTTGTAAGTATATACCCAAAAGAACTGAAGGTGGGGACTATACATCAGTATTCACAGCAGTATTATTCAGAGTAGCCAAAAAATGTAAATGACCAAATGTCATTAGCAGATGAATGAATAAACAGAATGTACTACTGTATATGCATACAATGAAATATTATTCTTCCTTAAAAAGTTATAAAATTCTGACACATGCTACAACATGGATGAATAAACCTTGAAGGCATGCTAAGTGTAATAAGCCCATCATTTAAGGACAAATATTGTATGATTTCCACTTACACAAGGTACCTAGAGTAGCTAAACTCAGAGACAGAAAATATAATGGAGGTCACCAGGAACAAAGGGAAAGGAAAAACAGAAAGTTATTATTTAATAGGTTCAGAGCTTGCTTGGGATAATGAAGTTCTGAAAATGAATGGTGATAATGTTTCTGCAACAATATGAATGTACTAAATGCCTCTGAACTGTACACCTAAAAATGGGTCTTATGTATATTTTATCATAATTTTTAAAATTGATAAATCTAGGTAGAGGGAATATGGATGTTATTATACATGCAAATTCTTTTACATTTTCAAAATGAAAAATTTGGATAAAAGTACTGAAAGCTGAGTTTTTAATTACAGGTAGTGTCACACAACTGTAAATTAAGATTAAATAGAAGATCCACTTAAAAACTCCTTGATTTTTTAAAAGATATCCAGTAGTGGCCATTTCAATGCTGGAATTAGACTTAACCCACAAATAGTCAATTACACAAAAATATTAAATTTTTACATTTTTAAAAGATGCCTTTGAAACTCATTATTAAGAAATACAATTTGATTACCAGGTAAAAGATTCCAAGGACAGCAGTATGTTTTGCAGCCATGTGCAAATTGTCTTTTGAGGAAAAGTTTTTCCCTATAATCTTGCACTGTGCCTATAATTGTTCAGATTGTGATTATGTAGAAATCTTTGCTTCCAAAGCCATTTATAACATCAGATAGCAGATATAGTCATTCATATTGAAGCCAGGTATGAAATCAGACAACAAATGTAATTGTGTTTCAAAACCTGTACTTCATTTAGTATAAAGCATGGAATAACATGCTAGTCCCTTTGGGGTTTTTCATCCATAAAAAAATGGCAGTGCAATGTCAATAGGCATCACTTAGAAAATTAAGGGAAATAATAAATCTGAGTCTTCTACTTTTCCAAGTAGAAATGAATAACAATAAAATATAAAATAAATTCCAAAAAGAGATAATAAGTTAAATATAAGATACTGAGTGAAGAGGAAGATTTATAACTCTCCAATAAGTCACACTTTTAAAAAAAACACATTTTTAAAAACAAAAGAAAGTGATTTATGAAAACATGAATCAATATAATCACAAGAGTCAATATCTATCAATTAGAAATATCTTTGCTATTCTAATGTGTATAAGAAAAAATTGATTTTTATATGTAGAAACAATATTGATAATATCATCTATGAATATATAATTATGTTTACATAAAAGTTTCAAATAAAGGAATAACATTTAGTGGTAAATAAAATCCATAGATTAAAATTTTTATTTTAATTGATTGTACAATAACTTTCTCATAAGCAACTTACCTTATGTCAATCTCTGATGCTGCTATATTCTAATTCTTTATAGCAAACTAAACCACTTACTCCCAAAGTTAGTAAAGTATCTGGAAATGTTTAGGTTAAATTCATTTTTAAACTATAAGATATTTGAGATATTTACCTTGGCACATGATCATTGAAATCCTTCCAATTTCCTAAAAAACTTTATTTTTTTTCACTAAAATACACTACAGACTATAATCTCAAATACATAGGTCTATGCTTTTCACAAAGGAAAGATATACATGTGCCCCACTCAGACTAAGATATAAAATTTCTATCAATATCCCAAAAGCTTCCTCCCAGTCTTTACCCACTGACTCTCCACAACTGAAATCACTATGTCAACTTCATAAGTTTATTTTGCCTGTTTTTAAACTTTATATAAAGAAATTATATACCATGTGTTATTTTGTACCTGGTTTCTTAGCTTAACATTGTGTCTGAGGTTCCTTCATACTATAGTTTGCCATTGTTTTCATTAGTATATAGTATTATTCTATGGAAGCTTTTGGAATTTATATATTTTATTATTGATAGATATTTGGAAGGTTCTGAGTTTGGACTATTATAAATAAAGCTACTGTGAACACTACAGCAGATGTCATTCAGAGAACTCATGTGCCCATTTCTCAGGGGTGTACACCTAAGGAGTGGAATCTCTTGAGTTAGAGAATTCATAGCTTTAACAAATATTAGCAAACCATTTGGCAAAGTAGTTGTTCTAGTTTATATTCTACCAGAATCCAGTTGTTCCACAGTGGATGCTTTTGAACTAGATTCATCCCAACTGAATAGATACATAAATGAATAAATATAGTTTTAGTTTTTAAAGGGTTTGAATTTATTTTAAGTAGCATCTGTCTAGTTAAACAATTAAACCATTCACGTGTGAATTTAACCCAACATTTAAAAACTAGTTTGTATATCACCAAAATAATCAAAGCAGGTCTAATATTTTCCCCTGACATCATAAATCAGTTTATATATGCTAAACATTCTAAGGATAATAAATTTATCATTAGGAAAGAATACAAGGACCAACCTATTATATTTCTAGAACTGGAAAATCTCTGCATAAAGCGTGAACTAGTGAAGAGCAATTCAAACATCCTCTCAGCACTGATATGAAAAACTCGATTGATATAAAGTCTTCCTCGAAGATCTTTCTCAGGAAAATCTTCTAGAAAAACAAAAATATACACCAAAGAGAAGTTAAGAAAAGGTAATTTCAAGGAGTGTATGTATGGGTATATTCTTTTGGGCACAAAATGTTTTTTAAATGTGATTACAATGATCATTGCATTCTAGTACACTATCAAAACTCCAAATAGAATAATATGTATGCACTATATATATTTATGTAAACATAAGTATGTATAGTTGACTACATATAATCAAATATTTTAATTATTAAAATCTAGAAAATGTAGGAATATTTTACTGGAATGATATCAAACTCTTGATACTCAAAAGAATATTTCATAAGTGATTAAAACAATATTGAGGGCTGGAGTTGTGGTGCAGCGGTAGAGCACTTGCCTAGCACATGTGAGGCCCTGGGTTTGATCCTCAGCACCACATAAAAATAAATAAATAAAGGTATTATGTCCAACTGCAGCTAAAAAATAAATATTAAAAAAAACAATATTGAGACACACAGCCATTAGTAGGTCCTATCTCTCCATACTCATACATTCAGTAAATATTTAGTCATCAATGGCTATAATACCTGCTATGCTCACTAGCTTGTCAGCCTGAATGATACAACCTGACTGCTAACTCCCCCAAGACAAGGATCACTATATTCACAATAACACCAATACCACACATTAAAAGAATAGGTATACCCTCTGAAAAATACTCTTCAAAGCTAAACAATGCCCAATGGAACACATTTTTTTTCTAAGAACTAATGATGATGTTGAAAATTAGCAAGTAAAGAAAGTTATATTTGCTCACCTCTTCTCATGCTCCCTGGAAAAATTAGATAAAAATGGCCCATATTTACATGATATTTTCTATGTGTCAGAGGTACTAAGTACCTCTCACTGCATTCCTCTGAAAAAAGTGGTATCATCATCATCATCATTTCTATTTTACGAATGAGGAAATGTACACATAGAGAGAAGTGTCAGGGCTCCACTGACAAACCAGTGTCAGTGACTGGTTTGGAAACTCAACTACTTCAGCTCTAGAGCACACAAGCATAACCTTTATTTTAGGCTGCCAGAAAGCATTTTACTTCAAAGAATCAAAAAGAAAAAGAAAGATAGGTATAAGAACTCTGTATAATAAAGAAAAAAGTGAAAAGGAATCCAACGTGAAAGTTTAATCATTTAAGGATAGATATTACTTCTTATTTCAAGGGTTATGCTCCATCAATACAAAATAAAAATTATGACAAAAGCTCCCCATATTTCAGAAATCAAGCTCTGAGAATTACCTGTGCAAAGCACATGTCAATATTAATCCATGGGAACCAGTCCATTTAAATGAAAGGCAATGGCCTATGAATCAGAAAAAACTCCTGTAGCTCTAGTTTCAGCTCCAATTATCACTATTTCTCCCTTATTGAATGATTTGTACCTCTCTATTTTGTTACAAGTACAAAGAACTTAGGGACACACGGTAGATATTGACTTATCTTCACCCTGCAATAATACTATATGTCAGAAAAAAAGGTTTTCTTGCATTTTCAATTATTGGTTTTTTGGTATAGGAACAAATCACTAAAATTAGGCAATCCACTGAGGTTTTATGAAGTAACTCCCCAATTAGGCTTGCAAAACAGCTTTTGCCCACATAGAAGTATTATTTGTTTATGCAAAAATAACTCAAATACACAAAAAAGCAAACTAGAGATAATTCTATTGATCCTGCCATTTCTTCACAGAACCTATCCTTATTTGAATTAAACTTTTGGTGTCTTATTCACTTGCTTATTATCTCTCCTGTACTTGACTATATGTTCCATGTAAGTTGGGATAACGTCAGTTTTAAACTTTTACATTCAGTGTTTGACATATAAGAACTGTATTTTTGAATGCATAAATTAATACAGAAAATGCTAGAAATATCTTAGGTTCTATTTTTGTATCTAGGACTTTTGAATTTGTAACCTCTAAAAAAACTTCTTATTTTATTTTGAGATATATAATTAATTAATCTATGATTTATCCCCCTTCCAGTAATGTCCTTTTTCTGTATAAGAATACAATCCAAAACACTATATTCCATTGGACTACTGAAGTTATTTTAATTTTTAGGTTATAATCTAATACTGTCACTATTTATTTTGTTCCTCAAATTATTTAACTATTTGATTTGGTCATTAGGAGCTCCTTCAGGTTGGTGCCTGTATTTTTTTGACATGTCCACCCTCTCCCACTTCCTTACTTCTGGCACCACAATGTGCCCCAAGCTCATCTTCAATTTTCTCTGTTCTTAGAATCAGCTATTCTTCTAAGGATCCCTGGGACTATAACTTTTCAAAAATAAATTTCTTGGGGCTAGGGATGTAGAACACTTGCCTAGTATGTGTGAGACCCTAGATTCAATCCCAGCACCAAAAATGTAAGCCTCTTATTCATCTGTAAAAGGGGAAAATTGCACTCATGCATATTTCAGTACTGGGAATTGAACCCAGGGACACTCTACCACTGAGCTACATACATTCCCAGCCCTTTTTTAAAAATAATTATTCTCAGACAGAATCTCACTATGTTGCTGAGGCTGGCCTTGAATTTGTCATGTTCCTGCCTCAGCCTCCTGAGTTGCTGGGATTACAGGTGTGCACCACTGTGCCTGACTCAATACAATATTTCATATTTCTCTTAAATCCCATTTTTAGACAACAGATTCTGAATTACTATTAATAAAAATATAATTTGTTGTATGACTATAAGGAATGAACAACCATCTATTTTGTATGTAAATTTATTCAAGGGAGTAAGTAAATGAATTAAATTATTTCCACATGGGATTATTCATTTATGAAATTCATATACTTCAAAATCTCCTCTCTGAATAACATCACCAATAGTATTGCTATAATATATTAAGCTAGAGGGGGTATTGCTCCATTCAGTAGAAGGTTACTATGGCCAATAAAGAAGAAATGGTATTTTAAACATATCAGTTTAAAAGTAGCCAGTGGAGAGTATGTAAAGTGAGACAAATAAATATAGGAGAAAGGGTACTTTAAAAATGTAGTAGGTAGGTATGTAAAAAAAAAAAGCAGTTGATTGAAGTTTAATTTAGTAACTAAGGACCCACAATCAGTTATATCCTCCATTTTCTAAAAACTAGTGACCTGCTATCTTGATTCAGGTACTCCTTACACCTGAAAACTAAGTTCAATTGAATGTGTTGTTCAAAAATCCAATTTACAGGCTGGGGTTGTGGCTCAGTGGAGAGCGCTGACTTAGCATGTGTGAAGCCTTGGGTTTAATCCTCAGAACCATGTAAAGATAAATAAAAAAGGTATTGTGTCCATCTACAACTAAAAAATATTTTTTAAAAAATCCAACTCAGGTAACTGTTGGGTTACCTGGTTTAATCTCAGAGCTGTTTCACTGATATAATAGCTTATCATGTGGCTTTTTCTCTGGCTTTTGCCAGAGTCTACTTGTTTTTGACTTCAGTAATTAATAAGCATTATCCAAAATTTCAATTCCTGTTACACTTTGCTTGGCTTTGCCTCTAATTCATCTTTTTCTGTCAGTTATGGGTCATGGATTTCAATTTTGCTATCCTTTTGTGTTGTCCTCACAGCCTAATCTTTGCTTGAGTTGTAGCTTCCATTCTCTGCATAAGCATCCTGTCACCATGACATTTCTTTGTTCTTGACACATGCAACAGCTCATCTTCATTTCCCAGGAAACTCCCAGCATCTTTTAAACTCCTTCCCAACTTCCCCTGGCTAGAGAAAGTCTATCCACAATGATCCTTTAAATAGATGAAGAAATTCTGTAGCTTATTCTATAAATCATAACAAAGTTTAAAAATAGAAATATGATTTAACATATTAAACATAATGCTTATTTTGTTTAGGAGCTAGGTGGAGGGAGTCCAGTTCTGAAAGGATAGAAATAGCTAGAAAAAGGACACCCTTCAATCTTGTTGTATTCTAAACTGCCTAGCACAGAGGAAGATCATTAAAGTAGATGTTAGCCCAAGCAGATTCTAGTCAAAATTTCTCTGTGTTCCACTTAAATTTCTCATCAAAGATTGGGGCCAAAAGTTTCAGCAGTTCTCTCATGAGACATTTTATGATGCTCTGATTTGTTAAGTCCTGTCAGGAATACATGGGTCTCTATATAAAAATAGAGTCTCTATATCAAAATAGTGGAGTGTCTATATCAAAATAGTTTAGGGCCCCCACTCCCCAAAATTATAGCATGTGGGGAACAGAAAAGATGAAAAAAATTGTCATTTTCTCACTCAGCCTGGTCACAAAAATAGATGAAAACACTATCATTTAAACAAAATTATGTTTGGTTTAAAGTGATCTGTCACCCATTCAGCTCCCTCTCAATCACACACACATCTCCAAGTCTCTTGAGATGGTTTACTACTTCTGGCCATTTCCATTTTCTCCCCAATTCCCTTTCTTCAAGTGTCTATATAACTTTACAATTTTAAGAAAATAAAAACTAGATTGATTATTATGCCCATTTGATACATCTGACATGATTTTGGAACCCATTTGAGGAAAGCAGCAGGAGTCCAGAATTGTTACCTAATGATAATCTAATAAGAAGTCATTATGCCACACAGCTTAAGGAAAACTGCCACAAATAGAGGGTGTTACAAGTTAGGTTTTTATTGCTGTAAAGCTGAACAGTCTTTGAAGGGGAAAGAGCAAGGAAAAAAATGTGATCAGTGTTCATATATAATACAGAAAATATACCACTATTATTCTTTACTCATGGTTATATGCACATCTTTTATGAGTTTATGTTGTCCCCTGTATAACTTTATCATTAATGTTAATTTAATAGGAACTCAATAATGAAACTACTTTATAAAACTACAGGTGAGAGGTAGACAGATAAATAAATCCTTATTTTGGTGTCACTTACCTATTTGGCCACTGGGTGCCAGAGTAGATCTTCTAAAGCCTGATTCAGTCAGGCAGGGTGTAACTAATTCCTGCCCTGCTACATACCAGAGCACTGATAAAGCACTCACTACCCTACCTCCTTACCAATGACTCCCACTGCAATGACTTCAATGTCAATGATCTTATAATTTTTTTTAAAAGATTCCTGAAAATACCTACTTAATAAGTATGACAAGCCCCAGGTTGTGGGTTCTAACATAAAGTATAGAGAACACAATTTGCTATAAAGTTTCCTTTAAACAACTACTTTTTATACTTATGATATTCTCAACTTTTGCCTGCCTCCCCCTTCCTCTCTCCCTGCTCCATCTCTTCCTACCTTTCTTCCCCTTTGTGAGAAGGTGAGGAAAAGACATGTGAGGACATAGTAAGAAGGTAGCTATCTATAAGCCCAGAGAATCCTCACCTTGATCAAGGATTTTTATCCTCCAGAATAATAAGAAAATATTCTGTTGTTTAAGCCACACAGGCTGTGGTATTTTGTTAGGGCAGCCCAATCTGATTAAGACAATCTTAGTAAGTATGCAAGGGTTGTACTGGCAGACATGTCACACCTCTGTCCTTTCTTCTAGGCCTAAAGTGCCCACCGAGGTCAATACTCCTATAGGGATGATCTTCCCTTCTACATTGGGAAGAGGTCAAACATGGTGACTGATGGGTAAGTCTATCTCCTTCATCAGCTCAATCAGCAGCCCAAGTACCTCTGTCACACATCTTCATTCTCTAACTTTGCCACTATTACTATTAAAAGTGATATTTTGGCCTCTATAAGACTTGCTTTTTGTTTTCTTTCCCAATTTTGTAACAACAAGGGTGGTCAAGAAAGATGGCTGTTTGTTGAGCCCACTAGAGACCCCATGTATGCAAGGATTACAATACTAAACATGTATTTAAAATGCCATCTGAAATATAATACTTCTGAGATTCAGAAGGTCTCTGGTTTATAATTTTCATTATTATTTATCATTATATTAGAATTAAATTAAATCTCTGTTGGCCTTCTAAAACTAAGTAAGTTGCTTTTTAATGCCATGTGGAACATTATTTATCATTTGTTTTGGTAATAAATTTCAACTGTAGAATGTTCATTTAAAAACAAATTGAAATTGAATGAAGTTTTTAAAAACTGAATGGAAATTGGCTATAGTAAATGCATCCCAAATTCAGAAGCAATTATGAACTGTCCATGCGCCTGCTTTAAAAAACTCACCCCATTATTCAATCAAAAGCTTTTCTCTTCCACATTCAAAAGTAGAATATTCTTCTGAGTAATACAGTGAGTAATATTTTTTAAAAGTTTCCTTGTTAGAAATTTTGATGTTCTTTATTATCTTTGGGAATCTACTCAATAAACTAAATTAATATCCATTTCAGAATGTGCCTCTACCACAAATACTTGCTTTCAAGTATTTGTGGTAGGGGCACATTTTACTAAGGTATCTTTTTTAAAGAAAAAGGAGGAAAAGAAACAATAATTTTGGAAGTACTGGATAAAGTAAAAAGAACATTAACCTAAGAGACCTGGTCACTTAATTCCAGCGATGTATCGTGAACTAGCAGCATAATTTTAGACTGAACCCATCTAGGTCTTAATTTCCCTAACAGTTACCTAGATAAACCAATAGATCACTCCACCTATAAAATGTGAGCATTTTACCCTGCTTGGTATGTGGGAGTGGGCATGCAGATTTTTATTAACAGATTTGCTTTTCCATTGGTACTTATTCAATGGTTGGTATTTTAAAAGCTAAATATAATGGATATTTTCAAATTCCAGGCTTTGAAAGTAGTGCAGATGGGTTAGATTTAGTAGGCTTTCTCCTGTTTTCTAGAAACTTTCATTTCTTTTAAGATTCTTTATAGGGCAAGACTTCATCTAACAAAATCAAATTCTCAATCTGCAGACACCTAATACAAAGATAAACATTAAGACTTACTTGCATTTTTTAAAAAAATTTCCAGAAATTCTTTACCTTCATCAACAGAATCTGAAGTGCTGCTTTTTTCCAGAGAAAGATATTCATTTTTATTCAAATCCAGCGATTTTGATGACATTCTACTTAACCTCTTTTCTGAAGTTAGTAAAGGACTCTTTGGGATCTGTTTCTCACTTTCAGGCTCCTCTTTCCCTAATGCCTAAAAGGCAAATAATACAGTTAGTGAAAAACAAATTTTAAGCCTAGATTTTACAGTGAGAACTTTTATTTAAAGATTATTAAAGATGTTTTCAAATACTGCTCTTTGAAAAATATTTGTAGCATTTTGTTTATTAGAGTTGAATGTATCATATTTCCAAGGCTGCTAAATGTGGGCCCATGAAATGTCAGTAAATAATACATGCCTTCCTGAAGTCATCTTCTTACACAGCAATAAACAACAAATTTATATAAAAGAACTCACATAAAGTTAATGTCATGTGAATTAAGTAAGCAGAAGGGAAAGGGACAAAGGGCAAAAATAATGCAATAATCAGGTTTTTAGAATGAAAAAGGAGAATAACCAAACCCACTAGTTTCCCCAGCCAATGCCTGCCCCATCATCTCAAGGAAGAGAATTCACCTGCCTCTCAAAACCAGTAACTAAAGCAGAAAGGGGAAAGGAAATAGAGAGATAAAAGTCACATAAGAGTACAGTGGGGAAGACAAGATTCAAAGGGAAATTAATTTCATAGCAAACTCAAAAGCACACAATTGGCTTTACTGTTAAGAGCCTAAGCATTAAAATATATTCAATATATGATGCTATCTATACCTTTGGGGATGGTTTGATAAAGACGTGTCATTTCTACAGTAAGCTGAATGTTAAGCATTACAGCATGAATACAATTACTATGTTAATATTCAGATAGGCTAGTTTTACAAACAGGCTTAGTAGGACACTGTAAAAAAATAAAACTCTATAAACTGTACAGCAAAGTACTTCCTTGCAATATCTATGTGTACACAGATGAAAGAGAGCAAAAGCTACATACACAATTCTTTGACTTCCTGCCCCAGGAGATTCTTGAGCAACACTGAACAGAAAAACAACTCTAGGGAGGATATAGGTTTCCATTGGCCACCTAGAAGCATAACAACAACTGGGAACCAGGACACAATTTACTAAAGGATTAGACTTCCCTAGTCAGAGGAAAGATTCTTTAGGCAGAGATTACTACTAAAATCAAGAGCTGATGTGTTTGGGAGTTCCACACTATAAAGCAGCATGCTTAAACAACACCAGGGCTCTAACAGATGCTAAGTAGAGTAAGTTTCTCTAATTCCACATTTATGTTTCCCCTCTTGTTGCTAATTAAATTATATTTCTTATAAAGAATATAGATAGGGCTTGGAATATAGCTTGTGGTAGAGTTCTTGCCTAGCATGCATGAAGCCCTGAGTTCAATCCCCACCATGGTGGGGGGCGGGGATATAGATTGATACATATAAGAAAAGTAACAGTGACTATTTCAATGGGTGGCATTTAGACAGTTTTTATTTCTTCATTTACTCTTCTACATTTCAAAAAGTTTTACAAAGAGTGTTAATTTTAATAACTTTTTAAAAAATTTTTATTGTTGGTTGTTCAAAACATAACATAGTTCTTGACATATCATATTTCACACATTTGATTCAAGTGGGTTATGAACTCCCATTTTTACCCCATATACAGATTGCAGAATCATATCGGTTACACATCCACTGTTTTACATATTGCCATACTAGTGTCTGTTGTATTCTACTGCCTTTCCTATGAAAACATGCTTTTTAAGTTATTAAAATTCCTAGTAGAGGATAGGAATTTTTTTTTAAAGAGAGAGTGAGAGAGGAGAGAGAGAGAGAGAGAGATAGAGAGAATTTTTTTTTAATATTTATTTTTTAGTTCTCGGCGGACACAACGTCTTTGTTGGTATGTGGTGCTGAGGATCGAACCCAGGCCACACGCATGGCAGGTGAGCGCGCTACCACTTAAGCCACATCCCCAGCCCAAGGATAGGAATTTTAATAACTTAAAAAGCATGTTTTCACCTTGGAAAAAAAATTGCTTCAGATTTTTTCTTATTTATAACTTGTGCTGGAAGTGAAAATAAGCCAAACTAAGTGACACACAATATTTGTTGACATATGAGAATCTCCCCAAACTGCTCTTGAGAGCAAAAGGCAAAATAAGGAATAAGGACCAAATTTCTATATTACTTATATTCCATAACCTAAAAACAACTATACTAAACACATCAAGGAATGTCTGATTGATCTCATAACACTATTACTCTTCTATACTCCATTCTTTTATTGAGATCAAATGTGACCTTCTTTAGGAACAAAACTAGAGGCAAGAACCAACAGGTTAACCATTCAAGAGTTGGTATAGAAGAAATTGTAGAGAGGTTGTAGGAAGGACTCAAGCAGAGATTAGTTCTGAAAACCCAGTCCTTAAAGTCAGACTTCTGTAAAAGAATAAGGAGACTACACGAAATCCCCTATCTTGTTACCTCACCCAAGTTCAGTAGTTTCATCATCTCAGTGAGAACATGCAAAGAGATTAACATCCAGAGTCAAATTCCTTGTATCAGTAGTGAGTACTTAAGTGTCTCTTAGTGTATATATTTTTAAAGAAATCCACAACACAAAACCAGGCTGAGGTAGTTGCATGATAGATGATGATTGCCTAAGGCAAGTTCATAACTTAGGGCCTTTCACATAATAAATTCCTTTCGATGTTTTCCCAACATTTACATAGAGGAAATGCTGGAAGCTCCCTGGGGGAGGGTAGAAAAGAACCACTTCTGGCCATAGGTGGGTTCACTTTCAATTAAAACAGTTCATGGTTTGAAGTTACTTAATGTATGCTAGGAACTGTTCTAAGTATTTTCATACCTGTTAGTTAATTTAATTCTTATTTTTTTAAAACCCTATGAGCTATTATTTTCACTTTATAGTTGGGAAAAGAAAGGTAGAGTTTAGTAATTAAATAGGTTATCAGTCATCTCAAAAAGACAAAGGAGCTTTACATGAGAGGGATCACATTGGCAGAGGGGACAAACTGAGTAACAAAATAATAATAATGACTCCTAGTTATTGAAACTCACTGAAATTTAAAAACCAATTACACTTATAATGATCCTTGAAAAGATGAAGGAAGAAACTGACCAACTAACCATAAAGCCCAGTAGTTAACTGGACCTACCTCTTCAATAGGTGGCTTAAGAATCATCTATTATTATTCCTCCATTTCTCCCTTCAAAACAAATTCTCTCCATCACACTTACTACTCTCCCTGGAGAAAATTCTGCAAACCACAAATTCCTACATCTTGTGATTTTTTAAACACATTTATCCTCCCCAATAACAATGCCCAGAGAACTGCCTGGTAGCTCTATACTTTATCCAGCTCTAAACAAAACCACACTTTCCCCCATATAACCTCTGCTACTTACATACTTAAAACTCTTCTCATAAAATAGAAGCCTGATGTCCTAATGTTTTAAAACATTTTGTAGATTGCATTTTTTACTTTATCTTATATTGTGACTACCACATGGTAATATCAGATATATTTTAAAGGAATAACATATACTAACTCCTTTTGATGAATTTCCATCCAATGACTCTGTTTCTGAAACTTGATGAATTGATTCACGGGTAAAACTGATAGACTTGGATAATTTTTCATCTCTTTCCCCAGAATCATCCACACCACTTCTTCTGGGACTGCTGTTAAGAAACACATCATTATAAAAATATAAAGTCACCTCCACACAAATAAGTTATTTAGACTCCTGGGATCTTTTTTATTATAAACCATTTTGATGGCAAATGGACTATTGTACTGGAGCAAATAGGCCTCTACTTATACCAAGCTATCTTCTTAAATCACAAGCAAATTGACTTCATTCCTAAAAACAAATCATATAGGTAATATGAAGTTTTATAAATTTTATAAATCATTAAAAAAAGTTAACAAAGTACAAGCAGCCAACAACAGCATCTCAAACGAGTTGGGGACAACCATGAAACTTTGAAAGGTTCAGGGAGGATGTGTGAATTAGACATCAATCAGCAAAGAAGACAGTTTTTACATCTCCTTCCTTCTGACTCAGACCCAGCTGAAATGGCCAATCCCTTTCAGAAATGGAAGCTCCTGCTATCTGAGCCCATTAATGAATCTTTCCCGATCATGATTCTTCTCAATACTAAGAACAAGGGGTAAGAAATAGCTTTCAAATGATCACAGGGCCAAGACTACCATGAATGTGTTAGTATCTGCTTTTCCCATCTCAGGAAGCATAAAGAAAGGAAAGAAATTAAATACAAAAGGAGCATAACTGATCTAATTTCCAGTGCCCAGCCTTATCAGGCAACTACAATTCCCATATAATCATAACTATATGCATTTAAAGCTCTTATGCTAAAATAAAGTAGCAGCCTGATTCTCACACAATATTATCCTGAGGAAGGAAAATAAAAGCCAAAGGGTATTTCAACCCTGTTTTACTCCACCCAAATAATACTTAAGGTCTGTTACAAATCATTCTTGGCCAGGCAGAATGGCAGGCCTCTGATGAGCCAAACAAGAAAAATGGGTTGTCGGGACTAGCCTACCAGTTGAGTGTCTACACTTAAGGATTTTAAGGATGGAGATGAGATACAGAGAAATAAAGAGAGTAGAAAGGAGGAGAAATAAGGAGGGACTGAAATGAAGAGAGAATATGGAAGCCCTGAGGAAATAAAGGTTTGAAACAGACAATGCTTCTTTCAGAGACTAGAAGAATGAGAAAAGGAATGAACAGGAAATCAGAGTCCTGACACATATTTTATTAGGAAAAAAGATACTAGAAGAAAGTAGCAGTGCATACATTTGACAAGAGATCTTCAACACAAAACCAGGACTGGTCACATTGAAAAGCTGATCCTAAAAGTCTGGAGCCCCCTGCCTTTTGCAAAGACTAGAAACTTTTCAAGATGGCAAGGATTTTGAAGGTCATCTAGTTTAGTGGCCTCGTTTCATAGATGAGTAAACTGAGGATCAGAAAGGTTAAAAGATTTGCATGAGGTTGCTCAGCTACTTGATGGCCCAGATTAGAATCCAGATCGTGTTTACCACATTCCGAGTCTCTTTGCATTAGATCAGTTGCTTTTCTACCCAGCTTCAATACCTGAGAGAAACTTGCAAACTTTACAAGGAAAGTAGTATAATGGAAATTTTTAACTTTACAGAAAACTAATAAAATATGCATGCTCGACCTGGTAAAAAAGACTATAAAATATTGATGCTAAACTGAAGCAATATAAATAGGATCAGCATCACTAGAAGACTAGCTAGATGAATAAAAATTGTATACACACTTTAAAATCTTCAAAATATTTCCATTTTAAGATAAGCTATAGATTTTTAAACAACAGCTTTAACATATAATTCATATAACAAAAAGTTATCCTTCATTTAAAGAGTAAAATTCAGTTGTTTATAGAGTTGTACAAACATCACCACTACCTAATTTTAGAACATTTTAATCACCCCAAAAAGAAAACCTGTACCCATAAGCTGTCATTCCCATTCTTTCTTCCTCTTAGAGCCTAGCAACTACAAACATACATTTTCTAGGTATTAATGGATTCTGAACTTCATTTCATATACATGGTATTATACAATATATGGTCTTTTGTTACTGACTTCTTCCAGTTAACATAATGTTTGCTATAGAATTTTAAAGTATTATCCTGTTTGTTTTTATTGCTATGGCCCACTCTTGCCATTAGATAAAATGCACTTTTACTCGAATGGTTAATAAAAAATGTCCACTCATTGCCAGGCATGGTGGTGCATATCTATAATCCCAGCTCCTCTGGAGGCTAAGGCAGGAGGATCACAAGTTTAAAGGCTAATCTGGGGAAGTTGGTAAGACCCTGTCTCAAAATGTAGCTCAGTGCCTCTAGGTTTAATCCCCAGTACTGCAAAAGACAAAACACAATAACAACAAAAATGTTCACTCTTCTAAATGAATCAGAATCTGTCAAAAATATATTTCTCTACTCATAATTTCTTTATCATATTATTTGTTCCGCCTTCATCGCTCTTATCTTGTTATTATTTGCATCCCCAAAGTATTATAAACTTCTTTTATTAATGTACTCAATATTTACTGAGTGCCAGCCACATGCCACACACAAATGCTAGGATATCCTTGAGTAAGTCATAGTATCATTGTGTTCCTCAAGACATGTGCCATTTAATTTACTTTATTTTCATCTATAAACTCAGAGATTTCACCAGGTAATTCTCCAGACCCTTAGTAAAGAGGTGAATTAAAACTAAGCTGTGAGGGGCTGGTGTTGTAGCTCAGTGGAAGAGCACTTGCCTAGCATGTGTGAGGCGCTGGGTTCATTTCTCAGCACCACATAAAAATAAATAAATAAAACAAAGGCACTGAACTGTCCATCTACAACTAATATATAGATAGATATATAGATATGAATATATAGAGAGATAGATAGATAGATAAGTATATGTGTGTGTATGTGTGTGTGTGTATAAAATGAGAATTTCATATTTAAAAAAAAATAAGCTATAAAAACGGTAAAAGGGGATCATAAACTAAAATCAATTTCCATGCATATATAAGTTTGTTGGAATGAACCCAACTACTATGTATAGCTATAAAGCTCCAATAATAAAAATTAACCAAGCTTTAAGCAAATTCTAGGTGACAGTTTATAGTTTACATTTCTTCATATGTCTTGTATTTGGCAAACTATTCTCCATGCCTATCTTTTACCCCCTTCTACCTCAAAGAACAAGGCAAACTGTACCCAAGGGTGAATTAATAGAGATTCAGAATTAGTAGAATCTAAAATAAGTCCACCTTAAAGGCTAATAAACCTTGACATTTCAAAACATTTTGCTGTACCTTGGCTGCTCATTATCTTCAATCGATAGTGACAAGTTTTCCATCTCTTCAGCATTTAAACCTAGCTCAGTGCCATAGTTCTGCTGGAGAAGTTGCCAGAATTCTTGTCTGGTCAGACTCTAAAATGACGGAAACATAATGAGTATTAGATAATATAAAAGATAATATAACACAGTGATTTAAAACATGAATATTAAAGTTAAAATGACCTGTGGAATAGCTACCAAAAGCGTGGCCTTGGTAGCTTTCTGATTTTTATAAACCTTCATTTTCTCTATAAAATGACTTAAAGCACATCTGACAGAGTTGATATGAGTTTTGTACAAAATTGTAATTTTATATTTTGTTTATATTTTTTCAAGACAGGGTCTCACTACATTGTCTAGGCTGATCTCAAACTCTTGGGTTCAAGTGATTCTCCTGTTTCAACCCCCCAAAAAGCTGGTACTATAAGCACACATCATCACACCTGGAAAATGATGATTTTTTAAGTATGTAATAAAATAACTACTGTAGGTGGGAAGTAAAAATGTTTAAAATTTTGTCTTTATAAAATAATTTGTAGTTTCTGGATCTGAAATCCAACAACCTACCATGACCACTGTTATCACCATTCAGCATCCTAAATGCCAACTTGGAATACATCCTTTTAATCCACAATGTATCTGAATATTTTAGCTGCATTTAGAACCCAATATACCAATACACTTTAAATTATATTTTCCTAAAATTCAAAATGCAAGAGGCTGGACTTCAGAATTTCCTTTACTTTTAATAAAGTCTAGTTTGTTCTCTGTCTTTTACCTCTGCTAAAAATCATCAAATACTCCAGGCACAGTGGAGCACACCTGTAATCCTAGAAGCTCAGAAGGATGAGGCAGGAGGATTTCTAGTTCAAAGCTAGCCTCAGCAAAAAGCAAGGCACTAAGCAACTCAGTGAGACTCTGTCTCTAAATATAATACAAAATAGGGCTGGGATGTGGTTCAGTAGCTAAGTGCCCCTAAGTTAAATCCTTGGTACCCCCCAAAAAACCCCAAATCACCAAATACAGCACATTTATGCAAAAGAATGATATGATGATAAAACAGGAAGCAATATAGTTAATTACATGATTAAGCAAGATAGAGGGAGGCAGCTTAACACTTGAAGATATTGTCAATCTTCATCTCTTTCATTCATTCAACAGGTATTTATTGAGTACCTACCAAATGTATACCACTCTACTAGATGCTAAGGGGTATAAAAATGATGTAGAAGTTAAATTCTTGACCCTCAAATAATTTCTATTATAATTGAAGAACCATGGGAAACTTTAAGTTAAATATGACAATATATGATTATGTACTAAAGTGCTGGTAGAATCAAGATGACATAAAAGTCTAAAAGAAAAATTACTATTATGGATTAGGGAGATATGTTATGTTTTCACACTGGTTTTCAGCTGAACTGAAAAAAAAACATGAATGAGAGCAGGGGAGAAATGAGAAAAGTAGAGGAGAGAGAAACCAACATAAAAGTACAGACTAAATGCATGAACGTAAGTAATATTTGTTTCATGGTCAGTAATAGTTTGTCAGCCCAATTGGAGTAAAAATTTAAAGTTGGGTAACAGAAAGATAAATATAGATTTAAGAGGGCTAAAATGTATATAGATGCCTGGAATTCTTCTGCAATATTTCCTATAACAAATATATTTCCTTTTTTTCTCTTTTTTTTTTCTTTTCTCTCTCTAGTAGTTGTGGTATCTTTGTTTGATATTTATACTAGATGACCTTCATTACATTTTGTAGAACCTCAAAGAGATTAAGAACAAAATTTCTGCACTTTTTTCCCAAAATTTTTATAATTGGTGTATTATAGTTGTACATACGGGATTTGCTGTTACATATTTATACATGCACACAATACACAATATAACAATATAATTTGCCTAATATTACTCAGATTTCTGCACCTTTGACTGCTAATTCCCTGTCTTCCATGTCAGATCACTAGGATACCACAAGAACACTTGATTAAAATTCAGGTGTTATTATCAGTACTTCAACATGTTGAAAACATCCGAGTATTTACCTATAATAAAGCTACTCAGGCTAAGTAAATGGGCAACACTCTTTGCTTTGAACTATTGTGTTAACCTAGAGTGGATATCTCATTGGAAATAATGTATGTGTAACAAATAACAATCTTCTAATATTTACTATTCAATATAACCACTATTTGGTGAACAGAGTCTTTTAAGACATAGGATCCAGAGAAGAAAAATTAACAAAATAAAATAAAAAGGATCACTGGTGGTAGAGAAAGATGAGGAGCAACTGTCTTTGATCCTAAAGAAACCCAGCATACATTTCTAACTTCCACTCCCAAAGAGTCATTTGCTTTCCATGATGACAACTTTACTACTAATTAACTCATTCTTTCAAAGACTATCTTCAAAATATTTTAGTGTCATGTAAGGATAGTTGGCTTTATAAAGAGAAGCAAACAATATTTCAATATACTTGTGTAAGATTAACCTCTCAAACTTTTCAAAAACAAATAGATATTTCCAAAGAAAGACTAAAATAAACAATTCAACAAATACTCAAGACAGCTTCCTAACAGTGAAAGAAATGAAACTTATAAGTAAAATACTAACAACAAAAATGTAATTTTATTTGACTACATAAATACATGTTTTAAAATTTTTAACAAATAATACTAGGAAGTTAATCACAGGATAATTTCAATATGCTTTTTGACCTATTAATTGAACACACGAATGTGTGCATGCATATATATATATATGTTAATGGGAAACAAAACTCATTGAATTCACCATGCTGTAGATTTGGTCATTTGTTAAACATCACTTTTCTACAAAGCTGTCCAGTTGTCATAAAAGCACAGTATGTTCAGCAATTCTGAACATTCAAATATTAAAACATGTTCAGCCTGAATTAATAATTCTTTCAATAATCAGCAGTAAAATCAATCTGCTTGAGTAATCTTAAAAACAACCTAAATTTTAAACAAAATTTAGACCACCTACCTGCAAACAAAGTAGAATCTTTCCAGTTCAACCTACAGAGTAGTTTAAAGATGAACCAAGCAGTAATCAGATAAGGCTCAAAAACCAGCAGATCAATTTCTGGCCCAGAAAGCTTAGAATTCCCAGTATGCTGCAAACTCTATCTGAAGCAGAGTGCCAAATATTTAATGACAACTACACAAAATCACTGCTTCAGTTTCCTAATTTTGTTATGAGATGTTTTTCCGTGCAAAAAAAAAAAAAAGTTTTAGTGTAGTTTAAAGCACATTATTTATTGCTTCCTGGTTTGCAGTTCCAGCATTCTTTCCAAGGCTACAGGTCAGAATGTACAAGTGAAGTTATACCTCACTCTACAGGTTCCTAAGCCACTCCTACTAGAAGAGGAGAAGTAAACAGGGTTTTATTAAAGGGACAGTTCCTAATTTCTTCCGTTCTATACATGGTGTAGAGACAAGATGCAAATGAAAATATCTTGCTCATGCTCAATTACTCTAAAAAAAAAAAAAACCTACTGCAATATTTTCAAATTTCATTTGAAAATTTAACTGTTAAAAGATTAAATTTTCTTCTCCATGATAGTACTTTAACTCAATTCCAGAAATATGATAATTACTTCTTCATATACCACTTCTTCAATACTGACATAGCATTCCCATCTGACTCCTCTATGACTAATATTGATTGTATCTCTTGAGTATTATAAATGGAATTTCAGGAAATTGCTGGAAGAGCCAGCTATTCAGGTGGAGCAATTCCAGTGAGTACTTGGCACATCTTTCATCATTGAAAAGTTATGATAACATCTTGATTTAGTTCTTTCCTTTGAAAATATTTTTGACTTTAATCCATTCAGAATAATTTCCTGGACTATAATAAACACTACAGTCTTATCTGCCAATTCCAATTTATTCCAAAGATGAAGAGTTTTCTTCTAAATTTCATTTTTTAAAGTTAAACATCCTAATTTCTACCAATTTATTGACAGAAGGTCAAATGCTACTTGATGAACTACAACACTTGACCTTTCTGGGGTTGCTAAAATCTAATCATTTTTACAAGGGCAGAATGAGAGAGCAAAATGACATGGAGAAGACCACTCAAATGAAGAAAGCACACTATGGGGGCTAGCTTCCACATATAAAATTAAGAGCTTTTAGCCCACGAAGCAAGTTCTCATTGGCTGAAACTATAGATGAATATATTTACTCTCCACCTATGAGAATAAAATGTATTGTAATATTTATCTACTTCTTTTGCTAACTATAAAAATCCTCATAGCAAAGCAAACCACTGGTATATAGAGCAGAGTTTTCATTCAGGAGATTTAAGAAGGAAAACAGAACCTAAAATTGAGCCCCAAGAAAGAACAACATACAAAGGATAAGTAGAGAATGAGTGGCCAACAAAAAAAGACTGAGGGAAATATCAGAGAGGGAAGAGGAAAGTCCAGAAAGAATGATATCATGCAAATGAAGGATAGAAGGTGTTTCAAACTGAAGGGAGTATACAAAGTTGTCAATGCTACTGAAAGGCAGCACATGTGGCAAATGCAAGCCAGAGGAATGAAGCAGGCTGGCAGGCCAAGCAACATGACTAGCATATGAGTGCTGGGGGAAGGAAAAGAGAGACTCCTTCAGAAAGGAGGAAGGGCCAGTTCTTTAAAAACCTTATATGGCGTGCTTTAAACTATGGACTTTACATTGTGAAAAATCACCTAGTAGTTTCTGTGAAAAAGTAATTGTGCTTTCAAAAGAAAACTTTAAAAACTACCATTACTTGGCAACAACCTCAAAGGCAGATTAGAATGTTGTAAAAGAGATAATTAGGAGACTATAGTGATGCTGCAAGCTAGAAATGATGAGAACCTTGGTGATTAACTAGACATGTTGACAAAGAAGAGGTAAGAAACAAGGATATTCTTGGGTTTCTGGCTCAAATGACCCAGCTAAAGTTGGTTATGGTTCACTGACCAAGGAGAGTAGGTGGAGTGCTGCCAAACAAAAGATAAAAAAGTGGGAACAATATAGAAATACAAATACTTCTGTCCTGCCAGGCTACTATGTAGCAAGTGTAACTAAAATAGT